CCCCAAATGGCTATTCCTGCTTCCTTGCATCTTGGAAATCAGAAAGTTGGGGGTGGCCCTGGCATTTGTGTTGGCCTTTCACTTTGTCACTCTCCTGCCTGCCACCCTGCACCCTCAGCAGCACAGTCACTCAAGTGCATGTACCCTGCCCAGGTGGGAGAACCCAGCTCAAAAGAAACACACATAAGCGAAGATCTGTCCATCAGTGCCAATGGAGGCATCCATCAAAGCTGCCTGCTGGTGTGGGTTCACAGCTATGGATGACCCCACAGTTCCCTGAAGAGAGGGACCACGTTCAGGATGTAGCCATTAAACAAACAGCAGAGAGTACCTTGAAAAAGCAGGAACTTGCTTGCCTTACATGAGAACTCTTAAAGGGAGAGTTTGTTCTGCTGTGTTGTAATATCCACTTCAACAAGAATCTCCTCATTCACAGATGATGCTTTCCTGGCCTCCTAAGTCTCTTCTCTCCAGACTGCCTGACACTTAACTTGGGCACCTCTTTAGCTCTGACTCACCATGTGCTGCTTGGCCTCCCGGTCAACCAAGCTGACCTTCCCTGCCGTGGTCTTGTAGTTCTCGATGTCCTGCTGTATCTCCATGTGCTCAGGGTTTGCCATAAAGAAGGTGTGAGCTGCATTTGCTGCCTCCTCCAGCTTGTTCAGCTGTAACAAGAAAAGAAAAACCAATTGATTTGGTGATGCAGGACAGTAAATATGTCCGTTTATGCTGCACCCTCTGACACCCTTTTGACTCCACTGGGCTAGGCAGTGATGGGTTAACCGAGGAAAACCTGAAACACTGGTGCTAAAGGAAGCAGCTGAAATGAAAGGAAAGCCCAGCGCAAGGGAAATTGGAAGAGATGGACCTCCCAAGAGCCAGACAGGTAACTCATCTGTCTGCAACATGGTCTATCGGTTATTTGGTCCAGCCTGTTCTACAGCTGAACATCCTCTGAACTCAGCTATTTCAAACCCCTGCACAGTACCAGGTGGAGAGATGCTTTTGTGAGATGTGAGACAGAGCAGGCAGCTGCCTATCCAGGCTAAGGGCCTCTGCCTGTCAGTGGGGACCTGGGATGATTTTTTAAGCTCAGATCTGTATAGCTGCAAAAGGCCAGGCTCTGCTATAGTGGCAGAGATATCAAGTGGAGTTTATCTTGGTATATCAAGTTACTTTGACTGTAGACATTCAGAACTGAGACCAGACATTAGTTTCACCCTGGAGAAAGCCTCCTAAACAAACAAATGCCAGCGCTAAACATGCCCACAGCAGCTGCCCGGAGTGCAGTGAGCAGGACAGATGTTCAGGTGAAACATCTGCATGACCTAGCAGGAGAGAGGCCACTTCCATGATAATGCACTTACTCCTGAAAGCAACCCAACTCCACAGAGTACCAGCAAGGTGCAGAGCTGTGCCTCTGGGATACGTCTGCAGGCTGAGCTGGCTCACCCGTGCTTGTCAGCCAGGACCAGGCTAATGCTAGCCCTGGCAAGGCTGTGTCCAAGTGTTCTCCTTGACAGTGAAACCCACACTGAGCCTCATGCAACTGCTGCTAGGCTCCTCCTGAGGCACTGGAGACAGCGAGCTCAAGCATGTCCAGACTACACTGCTGTCATGGTATGGCAGCTCACCTGCAGAAGCCCACACACACACACTCACTGGACAACTCAGCTGGCAAAATGACAAGAAATGAAAAAGAGACTGCAGAGAAGCATGAGCTTCACACCCTGTTATCTTCTGCCTGGAGCAGGCCACAGAGGCCAGGTGAGGTGAGGCCGTGGTTGTCCTCAAGACCCTGCTAATCCTCGTGAGACAACAGCAGCTTCCTCAGGGCTCCTTAACACTGGATTAATACTTGCCTGCACTTAACAAGCATCAGCTATCGCCTGCCTTTCAGCCAAGCCATGAGAGGCACCCAAGACGTCTTTCAGTGAACCCCTGTGAACTGCCTAGTACCCTGCGCTTGTCAGGGGCTCAGAGAGAGCATACAAACACTCATCACCAGGCAGGCGTATAATAACTAGTTTAATCTCTGACATCTGATTATCTTCAGAGATGTGGTTGAACTGTCAATTGTCTGAGCACACTCCTCTTCAGCAGCTCTGCAGCAGTGTTTGCAACTATCTTTAAAATTAGAATACACATCTGATAACACATAAACTCCTGTTTCACCAAGTGGGATTGACATCTGGGTGAAATCACGGGACTTCCTCCTTGAGAGATGCCCCTGCATATGTATATCCTATGGCAATTTTGCATGCGTGACTTCTGAGAGCTCTGCGGTGAAATACTAAGGGAAAAAATGCAAAGGGTTTGCTCAGGCCACATAGTTACAGCAACAGCATGGGAAAAAGCCCTTTTTCTATGCCATACACTGCTCTGAGCAGGAATAGCTGGAGTGGAGAAAGAGCAACAGCTTCAGTTCTGCTGGACAAGGAGAGTTCCCCCGGAAGCACTGAGTCCACACCAAATCACTTGGCTAATCTATTCCTATTTGGAAAGTGGAGCTGTCTGCCAGCATTAATAAAATACCCCTGTTGTTTAATTGGCAGAATGATGCCTCCTTTCCTACTGGACGTAAAGCTTGACAAGACTCAGGAAAGTACAGGGTGAAGACATGCATTATTTTTTGCAAGGTAACCTTGCCCAGCAGTGCGGAGGGAGCGTGTTTTGACTGCCAAGGAAGCAGCCAGTGCCCTTCGAATCTGCACACTTCAACACAATTTCCAAGTGGCAAATATTAAAGAATTATGGTAACAAGTTTCTCTTGGCTTTTCCTCAAAACAAGATGGAATTAGAAAGTGTGGCAAACTTCTGAAAACAATTTTTGCATTAAAAAAAGGAGATAGATAGATGACAATGATTGGGAGCCCGGCTTGAAGGTGCAGAAAGTGAGGAAGATGTGGAACATTTTGGGACACATGCTGAGCCTCCTGGCATGTAGCAAATCCCCCAGACAAGAGCCCAGGGCTGTCATCTGCACTCCAGGGCTGTTTAGATTAGCAGGAGTGCAAACACAGACTGCAGAGCAAACAAGGGGGCTACCGTGAGTCAAACTGGTGGCAACTGGAGACATCACGGCTGTTGAAAATCACTGGATGAGCTTGTCAGGGATGCCTGGGTGATTCTAATAGGGAGACACTGAATGAGAGCAGACACCCAAATCTACCAGGGGATTTGTGAAATTGTCACTTTTGTATCAGACGAGTCATTCTGGACACACTCTGACATTGCTCGCTGGGGCATGGAGATGTTTTGAAAGCAAGTGCCTGGATACATGAAGACCTTTTGGAGGAAAAGCCCCAAAAGCCATCCCCGTGGGGCCAGAACCATGCCAGGCTGGTGCTCTCCTAAACCCCCTCTGCCTCTTCTGCTGCTCCAGAGAAGCCAACATTGCTCGTGCAGTTCCCAGAAAGGCCAGCGCAGATCTGGCCGAAGAAGCATGTGTGAATACTTCCAATAGGAATATGAAAGCTCTGGTCGGACTGCATCTCAGCCCGCTCCCCAGATTTGCCCTTCGAACAGCAAAGCACCGCTGTGCTGCAATGCCCACAGAAACGCAAAAAATTTGCCTTGTGTAAACTTCAGAAAGCTTTCAGGAATAGCTCTGTGCTGACAACATACGCAGGAAAGCCAGCTATTACTGCAAAAACAAGATCTATTCCAGTCCTTCGCTTGAAGTTTTCCTAAGGACACCACTCTCCAGAATAACCCCTTAGCTTCCCAGTGGGTGAGCAAAATGACTGTAAGAAATTTTTATCCAGGACAGCACCAGAGCATCTTGCAACAGAAATTTTCAGGTCATGCTGAGTGCAGGTGAGACTGCTGCTGCAGCTGGTAATTAGAGAGGTCGAGATGGGGCAAGAGGTTTGTTGGAGACACATGAGCTGATGACCTGATCCAGAGGGCTGCTACTAATCCACTATTTGAGCTGCTCGGGAGAACTGCATTCTTCCAGCCACACCACAGATTTCTATTCACAGACAGCATCCTGTCTGTGCAGACTTAAAAGGGACCAAATGCATCTCAGCAAGGGCACTGGTCCCTTGAGACACAAGCTGCAATAGCCTGTTGTGGGATGTTCTTTTTTCCTTTGGTTCTAGCTCCTTTTCAGAAAGCTGTCAAAAACTGTGACAGATCCTTGGATGGGCTTAGTTCTTCCTGGATAAAATCCACCCCTGTGAGATGGGAAGAATCTGATTTCTAGACACGACAGAAAATCCCTTGAAACAAGGCTCATACTGTGTGTAGTCCTCCTGGCTCTTCACAGCAGAGATGATCTTTGGATTTTGCTAAGTGGACTCAAAGCAGAACATTTCAGCTCCACACTTTTCAATTTATCATGCTGCATATTCGCCTTAGAAACATTCAAGTAACACAAAGAAGCCAGCAGCTGCTAAGTTTTGGGGAGTTTTTAAGTGGATGCATGTATATAAAAGCAAATTCCTAACTGGTAAGACACATTCAGAGTCTAGCACTGACATTAATTATGAAATACTCTGGGGAAACTTTTGCCAAAACACTCTGAATTCACAGGGAATGGGATACTTTGGTCTTTAAAGGTCTGGGCTGGGACTCAGGACACCTGGACTCAGTTCCTGGCCCAGTCGCAATCTCACTGTGCAGCTATTGGAAAAAAACATTTTGTTTTCTTTGTGCCTGATTTTCCGCTGTTTTAAATGAATAACAATAAAAACAATAGCATTTCTCCCACAGGGTAATAATTTAGTTTATTTACATGGCAAGCAAGGGACCATAAGCATCCGCAAGCACGTAACACAAGGGGATTTTGATCTTTGTACAACCATTGCTGAATGAAAATCAGCAAGGAAAAAATGACAACTGTAGAATCACAACCTTAGTACGTGCTTTAAGGTCTGCTTGTTCACCCCACTGGAATGAGACGGCTGGGCTATCACTGCAGCTTCGCACCAAACCCTGTGTATTTCGGCCAGAGAGGACACATGAAATCAGAACTCCAGCACAGAGAGCACTCTGGGAACACCCTGTCCATTTTGATCTTACCATGCCAAGGGCTAGAGCTAAGAAGGGGAAAACACCACACTTAACTCCTTCTGGGTTTTGGTGCTGAAAAATATTTTTTTTCCTCGTTCAAACGTTAGGAGTGTTTCATTTCACAGAAAACCAGGAAAATTATTTTAAGCAGCAAAACCTCAGATTAAAGAATTTCAGCAAATTGCAAATGCTTGGTTTCATTCCTATCTGGGACAGTGCTAGCCTGGACTTCAACAGGACTGTGACTTCCAGCCTGCGGGAGTGGCTTGGATTAGGAATGCTGTTTTAAGTGGAGCATTAGACAGGACCAAACGCAAGCTGGAGAAAGGACCTTGAGAGAACCTCACGAGCGCCACTATAGAATCAATGCCAATTCCCATTGAGAAGCATTGGGAAAACCCCTTATGAAGCTTTTCTGGCTGCATGATGAAACATGTAATTTAGTGTTAACCATCCCTTAATAGCTCATAGTCATTTTGGCACTTGTCAAGCTATGTATCAGCCAGTACACTCTATGCCGACCAATCTAATTTGTACCTGTAAGGCCACTGTCACGCTTAGGAAATAAACTGTCTCACTAGAATATGTCTAACTTGCCGTTTCATTTTATCATCACTTTGGCTGCTGTGTCCCTCAAAAAGGAACA